TTTTAAAAAAATAAAATAATTTTTTTTAAAACTTGTTTTGTCTTCTCAAACTGCCCTTTGAAATCCTCTGTTCCATTCTCTTAATTCCTTATTTCTTCCATTTGTCCTAATTTTTTTTTCACATTCAAGATTTCTGTAGCTAGTGGTAAGGAGATTCACTGCTAACCCAAAGAACACAGTCTGAGTCCACCAATATTCCATGGGAGAAAGATGAGCAATCTCCTGTGCTGTTAACTACTCTGAAAAACTTCTGGAGGATCAGCTATGAGTTGGTTCTTATTATATGGTACACAACAACAACATTCAAGAGCATTCAGAGTCTCTTCTAACATCCATTTTAGTCTTTTCTTTCTTTCCCATCTTTTAAAATGATTTCTCCATATATCTTGCCTTGATGTCATACAATTCATCTGGTCTTCAGTAACTGCATCAAATCTGGTTTTTTCACCAATAGAGTAAAAATAGAAGGATAATTAGTAAAACATGTTGGAAACCCAATTGAGGAAGGCGTAGGAGTAGAAGGGTAAGGATGGGTAGGAGCAAAACCACAGAGTTCCACAGTTTGTTGGGTAGAGGGAAGGCATGAATGAAATGTGAAGGATTTGGTGGGGACCTGAAAACACTGAGGAACAATGTGCAAATTCTAATGGTGATTGATTTTTGTAAAACAACGCATGGGAATGCTTATATGAAACATAATGTGTACTAACTATGTGAGCAAACCACTATAAAATTTTAAAAATTACTTTAAAAGCCTTGATTATAATTAAACAAATATTTTAGTGCAATGGTTTGTAAATTAAAATGGATACACTCCATTTGTACTTTGCCTTTCATGGGATTATTTTCTATTTCTTGATCTTCATCTTAAACTTCCACATGAGCAATTGATGGTTTGTTCCACAATTAAAGCTTGGCCTTGTTCTGACTAATAATATTGAGCTTCTCCTTTATCCCTTTTCATAGATATAGTTAGTTTTCTTTCTGTATATTCCAGCATGTAAGGTCCATGTGTATCATTGCCATTTATGAGTTAGTTAGTAGTTTGTTTGTTTTTTTGTTTAAAAAATGGTGTTTTCAGCGAATAAGTTAATGGTCATACAAAAGTCTGTCATGTGATCTCAGTTGTCTTTTCTATCCCCATGGCAGTATTTTCTAACCACTGATCTGTTTTATATGCTTCTATGCTTTACTTTCCATTTTCCAGTAATTATACATGCATCTTGATCAATTAAATGGAAATAAATGTTTGATCAATTTCAAACTGCACAAGTTGATGGCAGACTTCAGTTTTGTTTTATTTGGTTTAGTGGTTGGTAAATAAATATTAATGTCTTATTAATAGATATTTTTTGTGTTCATACAAGGAAAAATAGATGCTTATCTCCTGAAAATGATGTAGATAGACCATATAATCTGAAACAAGGCTTTATTTGCTTTGTAGTGCAATGATACTACTCTAAACTACAATATGCAGAAAGTATACTGCCTGGAGTATAAGAAAACTAATAAAATAAAGTTGTTGCTTGGTGTCATCAAGTAAGGTCCAACTCATAGTGAAATTAATTACAGCAAGGAAACCCTTTCCAATCCTATGAGCTTATACACAGCAAAATTTATGAGGATGGTATAGGATTGGCTCCACAGTCAACACTCTTGGCACCAGTAGCCAGGAAATTAAAAGGCGTATTGCCATAGGAAAGTCTGCTCTCCAAAGTACTGAAGAGCAATGGTGTCTCTCTGAAGACTTAAGGTGCGTCTGATACAAGCCATGGTCTTTGCAATCACTTGTTATGCATCAGAGAGTTGGGCAATGACTAAGGAGGATAGAAGGATAATTGATGCCTTTGAGCTGTGGTGCTGGAGAAGAGTATTGAGGGTACCATGGACTGCTAGGAAAACAGATTCATCCTGGAAAGGGTTAAACCGGGTGGCTCCTTGGAGGCAAGGATTCTGAGGCTCTGACTGACATACTTTGGACATGTTGTAAGGAGAGACCGGTCCTTGGAAAGGGACATCATGCTTTGTAGGGTGGAGGGACAGCACAGGAGGGGAAGACCCTCTATGAGTTGGATTGATTCAGTGACTGGGGTAATTGGGAGAGGAGTGTCAGAGACAGTGCGAATTGCACAGGACAGAGCAGAGTTCAGGTCTGTTGTACATAACAACAACAACATAAGCCATTGTTGCATCTACTATGTCAATCCTGTTGTTCAGGATCATCCTCTTTTTTCTGGGTCTCTGAACTCCACTTTGGCTTCTTCTTTGCCAAAGGATCTCTGATGGCCTAAGAATTGTGCTGCAACTCAAAGGCAAGCTATTCAAATTCACCAGGGTCTCCATGGGAGAAAGACGGGCAGTCTTTTCTCATGCAACTCACAACCTCAGTCAGCTATGAATTGCTTCCATCTCAACAGCACATAACAAAAACAACAACTTTACCAAGTACAACACTTAGGAATTTACCTTTCTCAATAACATGCCCCACATATATATATAGATGAATAATAAAAATTACTCCTGAAATGTGTAGTCATCTACACTGATCACCTACAATGAATAATTGTCAATGAAATGTTCCATTAGCTTTACTTACATTTTCACCTAACTGTTATTATGTGTTGTCAAATTAAGACTGACTCATAGTGGACCCTCCAGTAGGTTTTCAGAGGCTATAAATCCCATGAGAGAAAATTGTCCACCTTTATCCCTTGAAGTAGCTAATAGATTCAAACCACATGCCTTTGGGATGGCAGCACAACTCTTTACCCACGAGGCCACCAGAAATTCTTAGATATTGATTTCCTATTAGAATTGTAAACTGGACAGTAAGCAATAAATGTTGGAGAGAATGTGGATTAGAACTTTTTACATATTTTCCTTTGAGTATCTTTTTTATATATTATAAAAATCTGTTACTTTAATTCAAATATTCTTCATCTTAATAAAAAGCTTCGGTTTATGGTACTGTTATTTTTTTCTTTTTAATTTTTTAAAATTTTATATTCGTTTTCATACAAAATTCATATACATATTATTTCATTCAAGTACACTGTGTTTCATGTATTATCTCCTTTACATTGTGTTTCCTATGATCATTCTTATACACTGTGTTTTATAATACCAATCTATACCCGCTCTCACTCTATCATTTTACATCCCCACTGGATCTATCCTAATTCCTTCATCTGCTCTCTCCACCCACCAAACTCTATATCCCCATGATTTCTGCCACTTCTCACCCTCAGCCCTTCTGCCTGCTCCCCTTTTCCTTCTTTGGACATCTAGCCACATCTTACTAGTTGTCCTGTTTTTTTACAATAAGGATCTTATGCAGTATTTGTCCTTATGAGACTCAGTTAGTTCACTCAGCATAATGCTTTCTAGACTCTCTCATGTTATGTAGTATTTTATGAAGTTGTTGCTCCTGAGTGCTGCATAGTAGTCTGTTAAGTGAATGTACCACAATTTCTCAATTCATTTGTTGATGAACATTTGGGTTGTTTCTATTTTCTTGCTATTGTGAATAAGGCTGCTATGAACATTTATATACAAATCTCCTTTTGTGTCTCAGTATGTTTTTCTGTTTTCAGGGTATATTTCTAGCAGTGGAATAGTTGAGTTATACGAAATTTCCATGTTCAGCTTTTCAAGGAAACACCAAACTGCCTTCCAGAGTGGTTTTACCATTTTACAATCTTGCCAACAGTGCGTGAGAGTTCCAGACTCTCCATATTTTCTCCAACATTTATTGCTTGTTGTCCAATTAAACTTTGCCACTTCTACTGAGGTGAGATTGTATCTCATTGTGGTTTTGATTTGTATTTCTCTCTTAAAAATATCTTTTTCTATTCCAGGTCTGAAGTTATGCTGAAAATAAATAGCATAAAGGATGGGATGTGGAAATATCCCTTAATATTACATGCTACTGAACCCGAGGTGGATGGAATAATTAACATACCAGGAGCTGGTCTGTTTAAGAAATCTATTTCTCCTGTCAGGCTGATAAATTTGAAAAGGTAACATAACAAGCAAAAATAGATGGCCCAGTTTTGTTAATGTAATTCATGGTAATATGTGAAACAGAATTTAAGATAGAAAATCCTATTAAGACATATTTTGCTGGTTAAGTCAGAGAAATAACATGCATATGACTCAAAGTTTTATACCTTTCATACTTATAAAAATTCATAAAATGGGAAAATAAAGCCTACTAGTTGAAGAAAACAGAAAAAGCAAAAAGAAATAGATGCTGAAATTATCAAAGGCGATTTTAGTTGAATAAAAAAAAATCAAGTACTCATTGTTAGATACCATATATTTAGCTCCAACTCATATCTACCCTATATTTTTTTACCGGTTTTCTTTTTTATGCTGATTTATTTACAAAGTTTGAATACATTGTTTTTCACAAAAGATCCTTCCCATATCCTTTACCACCCCAACCCATCGAATTGTGCAACCTCCCCTCATTGATTAACACCCCCTCATCCTCGCCCCTCTGTTTCCACCTTCCTTCCCTGGATCTTCATGTTCATTCTACAATAATGGTTTTATTAAGTATTCATCCTTGTGGGACTGAGTTAGCTCACTCATCATAATGCTCTCCAGTCCCTCTCAAGTTAAGTAGTAACTCACAAAATCATTGCTCCTGCATGTTTCCTAGTATTCCATTGTATGAATGTACCACAACTTCTTAATCCATTCATTTGTGGTTGGACATTTGGGCTATTTCCATGTTCTTGTGATAGTGAATAATGCTGTTATGAACATTGGTGTACAAAGCTCCTTTGAACCTCAACTCTCATTTTCTCGGGATATATTCCAAGCAATGGAATAGCTGGGCCACAAGGAATTTCTATGTTCAGCTTTTCAAGGAAGTGCCAAACTGCTTTCCAGAGTGTTTGTACCTTTTACATCGCCACCAACAATGTATAAGAGTTCCTACATCACCACAGCCTCACCAACATTTATTACTTGCTGTCCTGTTAAACTTTGCCACTGCTACTTGAGTAGTGAGATGGTATTTCATTGGTGGTTTTTTGTTTGGTTGCTGTATCTCTCTTATTGTCAGTGACGTGGAACATTTCTTCATGTGTTTTTTGGCCATTTGAATATCTTCCTCTGTGAAAATTATTTCCATGTCTTTTGCCCATTTTGTAATTAAGTTTTCAGTTTTTGTTGTTGTTGTCTTGGGTGTTTCGTGTTTTTTTCTTTTTTTTTTTTTTGGTTTCTTTTTGTGGAGGCCCAGGAGTATTCTATAAACTTTCATTATGAGACTCTTGTCTGAGATGGTATTGCCAAATGTTTGTTCCCAGTCGTCAGATTGTGCATTTCTGGCTGTATTTGGCAGTTTTTTTATGGCCTCTAAGCTTGATCCCAGTTTGTCTCTTAAGAACTTTATGGTTTTGGCCTTTACTCCCAAATATCTGATCGAGCTTGAGGTGATTTTTATGTACGGGTGTGAAATGTGGATCCTGTTTCAGCTTTCTGCAGGTAGCTGTCCAGTATTGCCAGCACCATTTAATGAAGAGGTTGTCATTTCCCAATTTGATAGCCTTGATTTCCTTGTTGACCATAGAAAGCTGAGTCTATTTCTGGTTTCTCCATTCTGTTCTACTGGTCTATGTGCTTGTCATTGTACCAGTACCATGCTGTTTTGGTTACTACCACTGTGTAGTAGGATTTGAGGTCAGAAAGTGTTACACCTCCCACTTCATTTTTGTTTTTATAAAGTATTTTGCTTATTCATAGTCTTTTGCCTCTCCAAGTAAACTTGACAAGTGTTTTTCTCTTAAAAAATTAATTTGTTATCTGTATTGTGATTGCATTGAATTTGTAGATTGCTTTTGGTAGGATTGTGTGTCTTCCTATCATAACATGCCTCTGGAAACTCTATGAACATTGACAAATGTCAATAGGCTTCAGGCCTTTTGTTCATAGGGTTACTATGAGTCGTGTTACATTCGAAGGCAATCAACAGCAACAACTTCCATGAACAGGGCATATTTTCCCATTTCTTTAGGTCATTTATTGTGTCTTGCAGAAATGTACTGTATTTTTCTTTGTACAGGTCCTTTGTATCTCTAGTTAGGATAACACCTACATATCTCAATTTGTAGTTGGTTATTGTAAATGGTATTACTTTCTTGGTTTCCTTTTCTGAGTTCTCTTTGTTACCGTAGAAGAATCTCTCTGATTTTTGGATATTGATCTTGTATCCTGCCACTCTACTAAATTGGCCTACTAACTCTTAGAATTTTTTTTATTGAGTCTTTGGGGTTTTCTGTGTACACTTTCGTATCATCTGTATATGGCAATAGTTTAACCATCTCTTTGCTGATCTGGATGCCTTTTATTTCCTTCTCTTGTCGTATTGTTCTAGCAAGCACCTCCAATACAATAATAAATAGATGTGGTGACAGTGGGAATCCTTGTCTGGTCCCTGTTCACAAGGAAAATGCTTTTAGACTTTCTACATTGAGAATGATATTCACTCTTGGTTTACATATATTCTTTTCACTATGTTGAGGAAATTCCCTTATATGTCAATTTTGCTGAGTGTCTTTATCAGGAATGGGTGTTGGTTTTTTTTCAAATGCTCGCTGTGCATCAATTGGTAAGATCATATGGTTCTTATTATTTACTTTGTTAATATGATGAATTAGGTTTACTGTTTTTCTTATGCTGAACCATCCTTGCATATTTGTTATATATCCCACTTGGTCATAACAAATTATTTTTTTGATGTGCTTTTGGATTCTATTAGCTAGGATTCTTTAAGGATTTTTATGTCTATATTCATGAGAAATATTGGTTTGTAGTTTTATTTCTTGGTAATACTTCTTATTTACATTTACTTTGCATTTAATTTATATATATTGTGTTCCCTACAATCCCTCATTTACACTGTGTTTCATGTAATCATTTATATACACTATATCCCGTATAATTAATTACCGTTGGTCTATGCCTGCTATTACACCATCATTTCAAGTCCCATTTTTTTTTCCAATAGGGATTCTCTATTTTATTTATGTTCTTACATTTTTCAAACTGGAATTTTTTTTTATTTAGGTTGTTTATTTTTCATTTCAATGAACATCTACAGAGATTTTGGAATTCCATTCATTCATTGTTGCACCCTTCTCCCTGCACAAACCCCAATTTTAAAAACTCAAACAAATAAAACCACTCATGCTCACTGCTGTTAGGTCAATGGTAACACTACACTGAATTTTTGAGATTGTAAATTTTAAAAGGAAAAGTTGGCCCATCTTTCTTCCTTGGAGCTCTAATGGATTCAAACTGCTATGGCATGCAGCCTTTTTGTTAGCAGCACAACACATTGTAAACAACACTGCCTGGCCCTGTGTCTTCATCACATTCATTGCTGTATTTGAATCCATTGTTGCTGCCACTCTCTCAATCCATCTGGTTCAGGGTCTTCCTCTTTTTCACTGAACTTCCACTTCTCCACTTTAGCAGACTTGATATTCTTCAGGGACTAGCTCTTTCTCATAATATGTCCAAAATATAGGAGACAAATGGCTTACATAAATAGACGCTATTGTGTATCATCTGGGGCATCTGGTGGACTTAATCCATGTGCCTTTGGGTTCAAATATAGGTGGGGCTCCACCAGCCCCAGTAAAATGTAATAGTCTTAGGATTTTAGTTAATTTAACTAAATAGAGACACTTGGCTAGCCTGTTTATTCCATCTTCTGTATTCTTTTTCTGTTCAATTATAACAATCTTTGTTATACATACAGTCCCCAAATTATGGTGCAGTTTTGTTCTGACAACTCTGTCATAAGTTCATTCTGGCATACTTTAAATCCTTTGCTGTTTTGTTTTAATTATCATCGCTCTTTGTTCTCAAGTCAAGTATTTTGAACAGTTAAGCATAAAACTGAACATCTGTAATTGACCATCTGAAAATAATAAAAAAGATGCACAATACCCTTCTGAGTGATTTACAATCTCTGAAAAGCAACTGAGGAGTGAGCTATGAGTTGATTCCAACTTAATGGTAGAGAGATGATGAGATAGAAAGAATAGAACTTCCCCATAGAAATTAAAAGGATTTAGATATTTTTTAAATCCCTTCTTAGTTTCTCCCCATCTCCTATGTCAGTCCTGTTTTATAACAGTGGCATTATGCAGTACTTGTCCTTTTGTGACTGAGATATTTCACTCAGCATAATGTCCTCCAGGGTCATCCATTTTGTATGATATGAGTTCCTTGTTCGTCAGTGTTATATAATATTCCATTGTGTGGATATACTACAGCTTCTCTATCCAGTCATCTATTGATGGGCACTTGGGTTGTTTACAAATCTTACCTATAGGAAACAAAGCAGCAATAAACATGGGTGTGTGTATATCTGCTCAGGTGGCAGTTCTGGTTTCTTTAGGGGAATTCAGTAAGGGAATTGGTGAGTCAAATGGTATTTCTATTTGGAACTTTTTGAGAAAGTGCCATACGGCTTTCCATAGGGGCTGTACCATTTTACACTCCCACCTACAGTGAATAAGGGTTCCAGTTTCTTCACAATCTCGCCAGCATTTCAGTGAGATGATATCTTACAGTTGTTTTGATTTGCATCTCTCTTAGAGCTAGGGGTTTTGAACATTACTTCATGTGTTTGTCCACCAACGTAATGTCTCCTTTGATGAAGTGTCTGTTCATATCCTGTGCCCATTTTGCAATTGGGTTGTTTACTTTTATCTTGTTGAGGCACTTGAGTATTCTATAAATACTAGATATAAATCCCTTATCAGATAAATCATTACCAAATATTTTGTCCCAATGTGTGACTTCCCTTTTTACCCTGTTGGAGAAGTTTTTGGATGTGCACAGGGATTTTATTCTTAGATGGTCCCATTCATGTATTTTATCCTCTCCTGGTTGCAGGTTTTTAAGGATGCCGGAAAGACTGTTCATGTTGTAGATTAGTGATTCTATGGTTCTTCCAAGCTTTTCTCTAATGAACGTTATAGTCCTTGGTTTTAAC